TACTGAATGGTTTTTAATAATTAAAAGCTTGCTTCTACTTCAATCCCTACACATCATGTTCTCCAATATCCTTTTTGTTGCTGTTAATCCTCACCTGAGGATATTTTTCCATTTATTTTTTAGAGAGAGTGGAAATAAGAGGGAAAGACACAGAGAGAGAAACATCGATGTGAGAGAGACACATCAATTGGTTGCTTTCCGCACACGCCCCGACCAGGGCCCCGGGATGGAGTCTGCAACCAAGGTACATGCCCTTGACTGGAATCGAACCCAGGACCCTTCAGTCCACAAGCCGATGTTCTATCCACTGAGCCAAACCGGCCAAGGCCCCCAATATCCTTTTATGCAGAGCCCAGTGAAATGAGCTTAACTGAGTCAATTTTTTCCAGTACATGGGAAATACCATCCCATACTATTTACTCCCTGAAAATACTTTAGCTGGGCAAATGGATGCCCAGACAAGTGGGCATCAATATTGTAGTGTACCATGTACACACAGCTACGACTCATTTTCCCCCCTTAGGTTAATTTTGAAAAGAACATGCTCAAAGTCTTAAAACACATTCATTTTCTAGAATTATATAGGTTTACTCAGTGTGAAGAGGAAGGAAAGCACGGCAGCCCTTTAGGACCCAGTGGCTCCTGCCCATAAAACCAGGGACAGGGAAAGCCAGACAACTTGTGTCACATCAAATGAAGTCTTCTAAGAACTTTTAAAAGCTAATATAGCATGGTTTCCTTGTCATCTCATCGGTTCAGGGTGATGTGTCCCATGCCTAGCTGCCTCTGATAGAGTAAAGCATTCAAGGATTTTTTTTTTAAGGATTCAGGGATTTAGTATAATCATCCCTACTCATGGTTGTGCCCAGTCAGCCCAGTTTCTGTCTGCTTATAACCCAGATCAGCAGTTTGGACGTGCCAAAGACTACCACAAAATATTTGCAAATCTCAGTAGGGGGAAGAAAAAAAATGGCAGAGCGTCTGGAAAAACTTGCAAATTACTTTCCCCATTTAATACGTGGTTAGTACGACAACCCAGGCTGTGAGATGCTCATGTGCAACGTGCACGCATTCCCTCCACCCAGGACTCCTCCGTTGTCTTTCTGACCAGGGTGTCGAGAAAGGACACTGGAGGCTGTGGTGCTCAGGCCTCCTTCCAGTTTCCAGCCTCTACTTCTTTTTTTTAAAATAAACATTTATTGTTCAGATTATTACAGATGTTCCTCTTTTTCCCCCCATATCTCCCCTCCACCTGGTTCCCATCCCACCCCATGCCCTTACCCCCTGCCACTGTCCTCATCCATAGGTGTAAGATTTTTGTCCAATCTCTTCCCGCACCCTCCACACCTTCTTCCCCCCAAGAATTGTCAGTCCACTCCCTTTCTATGCCCCTGCTTCTATTATATTCACCAGTTTATTCTGACTTAATTTTTAGGTTCACTTGTTGATAGGTATTTATTTGTTGTTCATAATTTTTATCTTTACCTTTTTCTTCTTCTTCCTCTTCTTAAAGAATATCCTTTAGCATTTCATATAATCCTGGTTTGGTGGTGATGAACTCCTCAAGCTTTTTCTTGTCTGTGAAGCTCTTTATCTGACCTTCCATTCTACATGATAGCTTAGCTGGGTAGAGTAATCTTGGTTGTAGGTTCTTGCTGTTCATCACTTTGAATATTTCTTGCAACTCCCTTCTGGCCTGCATGGTTTCTGTTGAGAAATCAGCTGACAGTCGTATGGGTACTCCTTTGTAGGTAACTAACTGTCTTTCTCTTGCTGCTTTTAAGATTCTCTCTTTGTCTTTAGCCCTTGGCATTTTAATTATGATGTGTCTTGGTGTGGTCTTCTTTAAATCCCTTTTGTTTGGGGTTCTCTTTGCTTCCTGGACTTGTAAGTCTATTTCTTTCATCAGGTAGGGGAAGTTTTCTGTCATGATTTCTTCTAATATGCTTTCAGTATCTTGCTCTCTCTCTTCTTCTGGCACCCTGATAATTCGGATGTTGGTATGTTTGAAGTTGTCCCAGAGGCTCCTTACACTATCTTCATATTTTTGGATTCTTTTTCGTTTTGCTTTTCCAGTTGGGTGTTTTTTGCTTCTTTGTATTTCAAATCTTTGACTTGATTCTTGGGATCCTCTAGTCTGTTGTTGGATCTCTGTTTTTTATTTTTAATTTCAGTCAGTGTATGTTTAATTTCTGGCTGGTCCATTTTTTTGGCATTCTCATTATGATCCTTGAAGGTCTTACTAAGTTCCTCGGAGGTTCATAGAAGATTCTTGAGTAACCTTTTAACTGTGGTTTTGAACTCTATGTCCCCCATTAGTTTGCTTTCCTCCATTTCTTTCATTTGTGACATGTTTCTTTGTCTCTACATTTTTGGCTGACTGTGAGGACCCGTTGTGTCTATAGTGGAAGAACTGCTGTGTTGGAGACACCCTTATGAGGCAGGACTTGCTTCAGTGGGGCTTTGGTGCTCACTGAGTCTGCTTCTTGAGTGTGTCCCTTATGGATGTGAGGAGTTGAAATCTGGTGTCTGACCAGGGGTACCCTGGCTCCTGGATCTCCAAGTCAACCACTGTGTGGGTCTACCCAGCAGGAGCTACAACGATATCAACAGATTTCTCCTATTTGTTTGGAATTTGGAAGTTTTAGAGCGCTCTGACCCAGCTGCAGTTTGTTGGGTTAGGCTGCAAAAGCACAGGTGATTCCTTTGGCCACTGGCACAGCTTGGGTGGGGATGTAAATTGAGTGGGGTGGGGTCTCAGAGAATCATCAAGGCGGAGCAAACAGCAATGGTTGTCATCAGCATCTCTGCGACTCCTCGAGTCTCCGCAACTCCGACTCCGAGTCTCTGAGTCCCCAAGTGCCACGCCCCAACAGCAACAATGATCCCTGAGAGTAGCTCTGCAAGAAGGCCACCCTTGCTTTCCAAACCGCTGCAAGACAGTCCAGTTTCTCCCCGTAGGAGTCTGGGACCTCAGAATCTCGCCTTAAATGAGCTCAGTGCATTCGAGAGCTTGTATCCCCTTCCGATGGAAAAAAAACCACGCACCCAGGTGCAGCCGCCTCGCGCTCGCCTTTGTACCTCTGTTCTTAGCGCCTCTGCACCTCCTATTCAGTCTCAATGCACTTCTTTCTTTCCTTCTAGTTGTATAACTTCCACTCGGCCAGCTTTCCCATGGTTCTGGATGATAGCTGTTTTATCTTATAGTTATAGTTTCAATGTTGTTGTGGGAGGCAGCACGCATAGGTTTATACCTTATGCTGCCATCTTGGTTCTCTCTCCCAGCCTCTACTTCTGAGCATGTTCCGATGCCAGAGAGCTCATGCCACAGTCCCTCCTGCCACCTGCGTGCATCGCCATCTCTCTTTCCCCCTCCTCCGGTCATAGGTCCCTTTCTCTTTTCTCTCTGCCCCTCCCTAAAGACTGCAACAAGCCCTGAGATTCCATGCTTCCCTCCAGCAACAAGTCTGACCTTGGGGACCAGGCAAGGCAGTAGCAGGGTCACATGTGTCCCCAGTAAAAAGTATGTGGCTGGTAGAGGGACTAGATGCCTTCTGCAGTGACAGAGAGGAAGGTCCCAAAGAGGCACTTGGTGCAGCTGGTCACCTGCCCTGGTGAGGGACCAAGTTGAAACAAGTTAGAAGGTGACACTCACGGGTGGTTGAGAGCACAGGTTCTCTGTTGGGGTCCATCCCCAGCAGGTCCAGGGATTCCCAAAGGTGTGGACAGAGTCGGCGAAGAAGGAATGACTGGAGGCAGTGTTCAGTTGATCGTCACAGCCAGGTTCTGTCTTTATTGTCCTGTTACATCTATATTCATACCAGTTGATTTTTTTAAAATTTTTTTATTGCTTAAAGTATTACAAAGGGTATTACATATGTGTCCTTTTTTTCCCCCCCGCCCTTGACAATCCCCTGGCCTCCCCTACCCCCCAGTGTCTTATGTCCATTGGTTATGCTTATATGCATGCATACAAGTCCTTCAGTTGATCTCTTACCCCCCTCTC